ATACCCAAGAGTTGCACATGTGTCTAATTTATCAACGTGTCGGTTCTCTGAACCATTGATCTACAATGTTGAAGGATAAGTTATGGCAGGAAAAGAGGGACTATAAATGTATTAATTCAAGGATTATGTGGGGTAAAATAAAGGTTGGATGTGAAAAGTGGGTTATAGTATGCGTATATGCACCTGGAGAAGAGAGAAGTGTAGAGGAGAGAGAGAGATTTTGGGAAATGTTGAGTGAATGCATGGGGAGTTTTGAACCAAGTGTGAGAGTAATGGTGGTTGGGGATTTCAATGCTAAAGCGGGCAAAAATGTTGTGGAGGAAGTAGTAGGTAAATTAGGGGTGCCAGGGGTAAATGAAAATGGGGAGCCTTTAATTGAGCAATGTGTGAAAGAGGTTTGGTAATAAGCAATACATATTTTATGAAGAAGAGGATAAATAAATATACAAGGTATGATATAGCATGTAATGAAAGTAGTTTGTTAGATTATGTATTGGTGGATAAAAGGTTGATGGGTAGGCTCCAGGATGTACACGTTTATAGAGGGGCAACTGATATATCTGATCATTATTTAGTTGAAGCTACAGTCAGAGTAAGAGGTAGATGGGAAAAGAGGAAAATGGCAACAACAAGCAAGAGGGAAGTGAAAGTGTATAAACTAAGGGAGGAGGAAGTTCGGGTGAGATATAAGCAACTATTGGCAGAAAGGTGGGCTGGTGCAAGTATGAGGAGGGGGGGAGTTGAAGAGGGTTGGAATAGTTTTAAAAATGCAGTATTAGAATGTGGGGCAGAAGTTTGTGGTTATAGGAGGGTGGGTGCCAGAGGAAAGAGGAGTGATTGGTGGAATGATGAAGTAAAGGGTGTGATAAAAGAGAAAAAGTTAGCTTATGAGAGGTTTTTACAAAGCAGAAGTGTTATAAGAAGAGTAGAGTATATGGAGAGTAAAAGAAAGGTAAAGAGAGTGGTGAGAGAGTGCAAAAGGAGAGCAGATGATACAGTGGGAGAGGCACTGTCAAGAAATTTTAATGAAAATAAGAAAAATTTTTGGAGCGAGTTAAACAAGTTAAGAAAGCCTAGAGAATGAATGGATTTGTCAGTTAAAAACAGAGTAGGGGAGGTAGTAGATGGGGAGATGGAGGTTTTTGGTAGATGGCGAGAATATTTTGAGGAACTTTTAAATGTCGATGAAGAAAGGGAAGCGGTAATTTCATGCACAGGCCAGGAAGGTATACCATCTTTTAGGAGTGAAGAAGAACAGGATGTGAGTGTGGGGGAGGTGCGTGAGGCATTCTGTAGAATGAAAGGGGGTAAAGCAGCTGGAACTGACGGGATCATGACAGAAATGTTAAAAGCAGGGGGGATATAGTGTTGGAGTGGTTGGTATTTTTGTTTAATAAATGTATGAAAGAGGGAAACGTACCTAGGGATTGGCAGAGAGCATGTATAGTCCCTTTATATAAAAGGAAGGGGGACAAAAGAGATTGTAAAAATTATAGAGGAATAAGTTTACAGAGTATACCAGGAAAAGTGTATGGTAGGGTTATAATTGAAAGAATTAGAGGTAGGACAGAATGTAGGATTGCGGATGAGCAAGGAGGTTTCAGAGTGGGTAGGGGATGTGTAGATCAAGTGGTTACATTGAAGCATATATGTGAACAGTATTTAGATAAAGGTAGGGAAGTTTTTATTGCATTTATGGATTTAGAAAAGGCATATGATAGAGTGGATAGGGAAGCAATGTGGCAGATGTTGCAAGTATATGGAATAGGTGGTAAGTTACTAAATGCTGTAAAGAGTTTTTATGAGGATAGTGAGGCTCAGGTTAGGGTGTGTAGAAGAGAGGGAGACTACTTCCCAGTAAAAGTAGGTCTTAGACAGGGTTGTGTAATGTCACCATGGTTGTTTAATATATTTATAGTTGGGGTTGTAAAAGAAGTAAATGCTAGGGTGTTCGGGAAAGGAGTGAGATTAAATTATGGGGAATCAAATACAAAATGGGAGTTGACACAGTTGCTTTTTGCTGATGACACTGTGCTCATGGGATGTTCTAAAGAAAAATTGCAAAGGTTAGTGGATGAGTTTGGGAGTGTGTGTAAAGGTAGAAAGTTGAAAGTGAACATAGAAAAGAGTAAGGTAAGACACATATGCAACAGTTAGGTATCTTTATTTCGAAACGTTTCGCCTACACAGTAGGCTTCTTCAGTCGAGTACAGAAAAGTTGATAGAAGCGGAAGATACTTGAAGACGATGTAATCAGTCCATCACCCTTAAAGTTTTGAGGTGGTCAGTCCCTCAGTCTGGAGAAGAGCATTGTTCCGTTGTCTGAAACAATTGTTTCAGACAACGGAACAATGCTCTTCTCCAGACTGAGGGACTGACCACCTCAAAACTTTAAGGGTGATGGACTGATTACATCGTCTTCAAGTATCTTCCGCTTCTATCAACTTTTCTGTACTCGACTGAAGAAGCCTACTGTGTAGGCGAAACGTTTCGAAATAAAGATACCTAACTGTTGCATATGTGTCTTACCTAACAATCTGTCGGTATTTTATACCATTTTAATGTTCATAGAAAAGAGTAAGGTGATGAGGGTATCAAATGATTTAGATAAAGAAAAATTGGATATCAAATTGGGGAGGAAGAGTATGGAAGTGAATGTTTTCAGATACTTGGGAATTGACGTGTCGGCAGACGGATTTATGAAGGATGAGGTTAATCATAGAACTGATGAGGGGAAAAAAGGCGAGTGGTGCATTGAGGTATATGTGGAGACAAAAAACGTTATCTATGGAGGCAAAGAAGGGAATGTATGAAAGTATAGTAGTACCAACACTCTTATATGGGTGTGAAGCTTGGGTTGTGAATGCAGGGGCGAGGAGGTGGTTGGAGGCAGTGGAGATGTCCTGTCTAAGGGCAATGTATGGTGTAAATAATATGCAGAAAATTCGGAGTGTTGAAATTAGGAGGTGTGGAGTTAATAAAAGTATTAGTCAGAGGGGTGAAGAGGGGTTTTTGCAGAGGTGGTTTGGTCATTTAGAGAGAATGGATCAAAGTAGAATGACATGGAGAGCATATAAATCTGTAGGGGAAGGAAGGCAGGGTAGGGATCATCCTCGAAAAGGTTGGAAGGAAGGGGTAAGGGAGGTTTTGTGGGCAAGGGGCTTGGACTTCCAGCAGGCGTGCATGAGCATGTTCGATAGGAGTGAATGGAGACGAATGGTATTTGGGACCTGACGATCTGTTGGAGTGTGAGCAGGGTAATATTTAGTGAAGGGATTCAAGGAAACCGGTTATTTTTATATAGCCGGACTTGAGTCCTGGAAATGGGAAGTACAGTGCCTGCACTCTTAAAGGAGGGGTTCGGGATATTAGCAGTTTGGAGGGATATGTTGTGTATCTTTATACGTATATGTTTCTAGACTGTTGTGTTCTGAGCACCTCTGCAAAAACAGTGATTATGTGTGAGTGAGGTGAAAGTGTTGAATGATGATGAAAGTATTTTCATTTTGGGGATTTTCTTTCTTTTTTGGGTCACCCTGCCTCAGTGGGAGACAGCTGACTTCTTAATAAAAAAAAATAATAATTCACATGTTCAACACTTTGGTATGAATTTACAAAATGTTTGGCCTGCCTAGCAGATCAGTTTGATGAATTATGATACTTGGTAAAAATGTACCATTGTAGCACGTAGAAACATACACAGTAATATATTATTATATTTGTGGGAGGCATAAAACACAATAGTTGAAGAGCGAAGTAAAAAAGTAAAATAATTGTTGTTACTGTACTGTATATTTGTCATCCTGCCTCGGCTGGAGACGTCCAGCTTTTTTAAAATAAAATATTATTGTCTGAAGAAGAGCAGCAGTTTCATAACTTAAATATTTTGGGAGAAAAAGATACACAACTAAAATCTCATTGACTAAAAAAATGTTTTATTAATGAAGATGTAAATGGATCGACAGACGATCATTAAGGGAAAAAAGTTCTGAGGGTGTTTAGGATGGGTTGAGAATAAAATAAAACTGAATATGCATTCCTTCATGAATGAAAGCCTTTTCAGTTCTTTTGTATACTGTAGTCACTTATAATATTTATGAGCAAATGCTAAACCTGTAAGGTCTCACACTCCTGAGGAATGGGAGGTAATTGCATTTAAACTGATGTAGGGGACAGTAGCTCTAAATCCTTATTCAGTTTATTTGAATTACTGAGTCAATTGATAGAAAATGGAATTGAATAGGGCATACGAAATAAACATGGAGGGGATTTTGTTTGTCAGGAAAAGTGGGAAAATTTTTCATGATATGCATCTTTACCATATGATGGTAGAACTTTAGATCACTGGATGAAGACCCTCTACTGGCTTACTTGCCAGCCAATGAAAAATTAAGGGTCAAAACTAAGTTTCTTACATATTTAATTGTGCATCCTGTACAAATATTTCCATCAGTATTATTTTACTTTTACTGTTTATATTTTACTCTTCCCTAGGTAGTAGATTGGTAGACAGCAACTGCACAAGTAGGTACATAGTACTACCATCCTGCCAAATGAGTGTAAAATGGAATCTTGTAGTTGTTTTATATGATGGTAGGATTGCTGGTGTCTTTTTTCTGTCTCATTAACATGCAAGGTTTCAGGGACATCTTGCTACTTCTACTTACACTTAGATCACACTACACATGCATGTAAAAGCACATATATACACACCCCTCTGGATTTTCTTCTATTTTCTTACTAGTTCTTGTTCTTGTTTATTTCCTCTTATCTACATGGGGAAGTGGAACAGAATTCTTCCTCCATAAGCCATGCGTGTCATAAGAGGCAACTAAAATGCCAGGAGCAAGGGGCTAGTAACCCCTTCTCCTGTATACATTACTAAAGTTAAACAGAGAAACTTGTTTTTCTTTTCGGGCCACCCTGCCTTGGTGGGATATGGCCAGTTTGTTGAAAGACAAAAAGTGTGGCAATGGAACAAAGGTTACTAAGATCATGGATTAATAATTTATTTTAATTTTATTAATTAATTACAATTAATCAAAAACTGGTCTATTACAATCGATCAGCATTAGCATGTGCAGGTAATATTGATATTATTGCTATAATGGAGACCTGGTTCAACCTGAAAGATAGAGAAATGCCCCCTGAATGCCACATACAAGGCTACGAACTATTCCACTCTGATATGGTCAACGGGAAGGGTGGTGGAGTGGTGATGTATGTCAGAGCTAACTTAAATTGTTGTGTTAGACAAGATATAAGATTAGAATCTGTTTGGCTACAGTTTCTTGAGGGTTGTGACAAATTAGTTTGGCTATAGTTTCTTGAGCGTTGTGACAAATTAGTTTTGGGTGTGATTTATAGGCCCCCAAATCTTGATAGGGAGTACAGTAAGCTGCTATGGGATGAAATTCATAAGGCGTCTAGATATGAAAATGTCGTGTTAATGGGAGATATTAACTTTAGACAAACTGATTGGAACAGTATGATAGGAATTCTTGAGTCTAGTGACTTGATATGATTCAGGACTGCTTTTTAAAATAGTTTGTGGCAGAACCAACTAGAGGAAACAATCTGCTTGACTTGGTTCTTGCCAACAAGGAATCGCTAATTAATAATCTTAAGGTTAATGATGAGTTTGGAGAAAGCGATCACAAATCACTTAGTTTCAAATAACTACCCAAATAATTGCAATCAAGTCTGTCCCAGACTTCTGCTGGGCTGATTTCATAGGACTGAGAAATTCCCTGGCAGGGCTAAATTAGAACAATCTGACTATGGGTCAGGTAGGTGGTGTTGGTTGCCAATATGGCATTTTTCAGAGCATAGTTCTAGTTGCCCAGACAACTTATGTTACAAGTAGGGAAATTAGATCAACCAAAAATGATCCCAAATGGATAAATAATAGATTAAAACATCTCACTGGTCAAGAGGGAGGCATATATATGCATATCAAAAGAGGGGATGGCAGGTAGGAAATCAATATATTCAGTTAAAGAGAGAAGTAAAAAAGAGAATAAGAAAAGCTAAAAGAGATTATGAGGCTAAAGTGGCAAGGGATTTAAAGATTAACCCAAAAAGCTTCTTTCAGGTATATAGAAGTAAGATTAGGGACAAGATAGGCCCACTCAAAAGTAACTCCGGTCAGATCACTGACAGTGATAAGGAATTGTGTGAAATTTTTAACACTTATTTCCTCTCAGATTTTATGCAGGAAGACATTAGCGAAATTCCAGAAATAAAAAATTATGTAGAATATTTTTTATTATTTATTTTTTATTATCACACTGGCCGATTCCCACCAAGGCAGGGTGGCCAGAAAAAGAAAAACTTTCACCATCATTCACTCCATCACTGTCTTGCCAGAAGGGTGCTTTACACTACAGTTTTAAAACTGCAACATTAACACCCCTCCTTCAGAGTGCAGACACTGTACTTCCCATCTCCAGGACTCAAGTCCGGCCTGCCGGTTTCCCTGAACCCCTTCATAAATGTTACTTTGCTCACACTCCAACAGCACGTCAAGTATTAAAAACCATTCGTCTCCATTCACTCCTATTAAACACGCTCACGTACGCCTGCTGGAAGTCCAAGCCCCTCGCACACAAAACCTCCTTTACCCCCTCCCTCCAACCTTTCCTAGGCCGACCCCTACCCCGCCTTCCTTCCACTACAGACTGATACACTCTTGAAGTCATTCTGTTTCTCTCCATTCTCTCTACATGTCCGAACCACCTCAACAACCCTTCCTCAGCCCTCTGGACAACAGTTTTGGTAATCCCGCACCTCCTCCTAACTTCCAAACTACGAATTCTCTGCATTATATTTACACCACACATTGCCCTCAGACATGACATCTCCACTGCCTCCAGCCTTCTCCTCGCTGCAACATTCATCACCCATGCTTCACACCCATATAAGAGCGTTGGTAAAACTATACTCTCATACATTCCCCTCTTTGCCTCCAAGGACAAAGTTCTTTGTCTCCACAGACTCCTAAGTGCACCACTCACCCTTTTCCCCTCATCAATTCTATGATTCACCTCATCCTTCATAGACCCATCCGCTGACACGTCCACTCCCAAATATCTGAATACATTCACCTCCATACTCTCTCCCTCCAATCTGATATCCAATCTTTCATCACCTAATCTTTTTGTTATCCTCATAACCTTACTCTTTCCTGTATTCACTTTTAATTTTCTTCTTTTGCACACCCTACCAAATTCATCCACCAATCCCTGCAACTGCTCTTCAGAATCTCCCAAGAGCACAGTGTCATCAGCAAAGAGCAACTGTGACAACTCCCACTTTATGTGTGATTCTTTATCTTTTAACTCCAGGCCTCTTGTCAAGACCCTCGCATTTACTTCTCTTAGAACCCCATCTATAAATATATTAAACAACCACGGTGACATCACACATCCTTGTCTAAGGCCTACTTTTACTGGGAAATAATTTCCCTCTTTCCTACATACTCTAACTTGAGCCTCACTATCCTCGTAAAAACTCTTCACTGCTTTCAGTAACCTACCTCCTACACCATACACCTGCAACATCTGCCACATTGCCCCCTATCCACCCTGTAATATGCCTTTTCCAAATCCATAAATGCCACAAAGACCTCTTTAGCCTTATCTAAATACTGTTCACTTATATGTTTCACTGTAAACACCTGGTCCACACACCCCCTACCTTTCCTAAAGCCTCCTTGTTCATCTGCTATCCTATTCTCCGTCTTACTCTTAATTCTTTCAATAATAACTCTACCATACACTTTACCAGGTATACTCAACAGACTTATCCCCCTATAATTTCTGCACTCTCTTTTGTCCCCTTTGAATAGGATGATAATAAACTATGCATGAATAGGGTAACTACTGACATGGTCCTCAGACAAATAGAGAAATTAAAACCAAACAAATCCCCAGGCCCTGTTGAACTATTTGCAAGGGTTTTAAAGGAATGTAAAGAGGAGCTTAGCAAACCTTTGGCTAATCTTTTTAACATATCACTACAAACTGGCATAGTGCCAGATAAATGGAAAATGGCAAATGTAATACCTATTTACAAAGCAGGTGACAGGTCCTTAGCTTCGAACTATAGACCAATAAGCCTTACCTCCACAGTGGGAAAATTTATGGAATCAATAAGTGCCGAGGCAATTCATAGCCATCTCGAAAGGCATAAATTGATCAATGAATCTCATCACGGTTTTATAAAGGGGCGTTCCTGCCTTACAAATTTACTAACTTTTTCACCAAGGGATTTGAGAAGGTAGATTATGGTAATGAATATGATACTGTGTATATGGACTTCAGTAAGGCTTTTAATAGAGTTCCACATCAGAGGCTATTGAGGAAAATTAAAGCACACAGAATAGGAAGAGAAATTTTTTCCTGCGTAGAGGCAAGGTTGACAGATAGGCAGCAGAGAGTTTGCATCAATGGGGAGAAATCAGAGTGGGGGCACATCACGAGTGGTTTTCCACAGGGGTCAGTGTTGGGCCCTTTGCTGTTCACAATTTATATAAATGACATTGATGAAGGAATATATAGCGACATAAGCAAGTTTGCTGATGACACCAAAATAGGTCGCCTAATTCACTCTAATGAGGACATTAGAGCACTCAAGGAAGATTTGAATAGGTTGATGCAGTGGTTGGAGAAGTGGCAAATGCAGTTTAATATGGACAAATGCAAAGTTCTAAACATTGGACAAGAAAATAACCATGCCACGTATTAACTAAATAATGTATATCTTAATATTACTGACTGCAAAAAAGGATTTTGGAGTTCTGGTTAGCAGTAATCTAAAACCAAGACAACAGTGCATAAGTGTTCGCAATAAAGAAACAGAATCCTTGGCTTCATATCAAGGAGCATAAATAATAGGAGTCCTCAGGTTGTTCTTCAACTCTATATATCTTTGGTTAGGCCTCATTTAGATTATGCTGCACAGTTTTGGTCACTGTATTACAGAATGGATATAAATGCACTGGAAAACATACAAAGGAGGATGACCAAGTTGATCCAATGTATCAGAAATCTTCCCTCATACAAAGGAGGATGACCAAGTTGATCCAATGTATCAGAAATCTTCCCTATGAGGATACACTGAGGGCCCTGAATCTGCACTCTCTAGAAAGGCATAGAATTAGGGAAGATATGATTGAGGTGTATAAGTGGAAAACAGGAATAAATAAAGGGGATGTAAATAGCGTTCTAAAAATATCTAGCCAAAACAGGACTCAAAGCAATGGTTTTAAGTTGGAAAAATTCAGATTCAGGAAGGATATAGGAAAGCACTGGTTTGGTAATAGAGTTGTGGATGAGTGGAATAAACTCCTGAGTACCATCATAGAACATTGTGTAGCTTTAAACCTTTCAGGGTCCGTCCCGTAGATCTACGGATTTGCATTCAGTGTCCAAACCGTAGATCTACGTCATGAGCTCAGCTCACCCTGATAAACTGTGAGTGGTACACTTGGGCCTAGATATGAGAGAATACATCTATGTGGTATGTGTGCACCACATAAAACAAATCCTGCAGCACACTGTGTATAATGAGAGAAAAAAAACTGAAACCAAGATTTTCGATTAAAACAGCAACTTTGCAGTGTTTTTTCGTATGTTTTTTATAGTTGTATTTGCAATTTCTTGGTCTCATTTGATAGAATGGAAGACATATTACAGAAATAGAGATGACTTTGATTGGTTTTAGCACTGGAAATGGCTTGAAACTGAGCTCAAAGTAGCGGAAATGTTAAATTTTTGTCGATGTTCAAGAGTAAACAAACGACCTCACATGTCTAATACACGCCAGCTGGTGGATCTAATACACATTCCCAAATGTGGTGATGATATTTATACAATTATTACAATATTGCATAACAGTAAATCTTCTATTTTTTGGTGTGAATAAAAATTCATTATGTAAATAAAAAATAAAAATGGGATTTATTTGTAAAGCCTCAAAACGTAACTAATGAACCGAGGAAATGTTAGTTTAGTGCCAGGAATGCCTACATTGTTTATTCTGGATGCTATTTTGAAATTGGAATATTTTGAACTTTGTGTTAAATTGGCCAAATTACCAATTTCCGATCACTTTATTTTGTAGTTGAAACAGTTGACTTGGCGATTTCTTGTGCTCAATCGATAGAATAGAAGTAATACTAGTAAAATAGCTAAGAATTTGGTTGACTGGAATGATGTAATTGGCCTAAAATGGAAGTCAAAGTCGGCAAAATCGCCGATTCGTAAATATCGCTGACACATCAAAATTCGCGAGAGCATAATTTCGTCAGTTTTCCATCAAATTTCGTACTTTTTGTTTTATTACCTTCGCAAAAAGATTCTCTACCATTTCATAAGAAAAAATAACAAATTTTTTTTTTTTAAATTCTTGGACACTGGGGCACCACTTCAGATTTGGGCCTTGGACCCTGAAGGGGTTAAAAATAGGTTGGATAAATACATGAGTGGGTGTAGGTGGGTGTGAGTTGGACCTGACTAGCTTGTAATAAAAGGTCTGATGCCATGCTTTTTCCTTAAGTGGATGTGACCTGACATGACTAGGTGGGTCACTGGTTTAAGCCAGGAGGTGACTTGAACCTGCCTTGCATGGGCCAGTAGGGCTGTTGCATTGTTTCTTCTTTCTTATGTTCTTAATTATGTATTATAATTATCACTGTGGATTCCACTTCAGCAGATTATATCTAAGAAAACATTTGTTTCTATATGATAAAAATATATCCTCAGATAACTAATTTGCCCTTACAAATTGCTAAAACTCTGCCAAGAGAAAGTTACTAATAAAATATTTAAGTACTGTACAAAATTTACATTAATTAATATCTTACAATTAAGAAGTAAATTATGAGCTGTCACTAGCATAGTGCATCATATCAAAGATATACATATACGTAGTTAGTATGAGAACTACAACACACGGTAACAAGTTCCATTAATAAAATTAATTGACAATTTAGAAATCAAAATTGGTGATTCTAGAAATCACACATGAATACGTTTTATAGACACACCTAACATCACCGACATCTGGCAAAAAGCACCAGGTGTATGTATATTTTGTATTTCACCAAAATTCCATACTTGAAATTTGTGAATTACTAACCTATATAACAACAATTTTCTGTGCCATCTTAGTACTATGTAATACAGGTCAGCCATCACTAATCCGGCAATCAGTAGTCCGGTTCCATCACTAATCCGGCACTATTTTCGGCTAGCATAATTTCAAATTTCCGGGGTCGCCACACCAACCTACTGCTACTGTTTGGTGTCGCTACTTGCTGCGGATGTCATTCCAGCTTGTTTTTATCCATTTATTGTTATAACCTGTTCACTTTTAGCTCTAGCCATGGTTCCAACAAATAAAAGAAATGCCTCTCATTGTGTAAAGAACATACACTGTACATTGTCCATAAAAAATAAGGAGGCCACTGTTGGTCGCCATGAGCCCAGCTCACTCACATGAGCTGTGCCCGGTAAATTTGGGCCTACATATGAGTGAATAGGTCTAATGCGAAGGTATATTCCAGGTGTTTTTGGTGTAAAGAAGCGACTTTGCAGTGTATTTTTGTATGGTTTTTATGATTGTATTCTCATTTTTTTCATCTCATTTGATAGAATGGAAAATATATTACAGAAATAGATATGATTTTGATTGGTATGATGACAGAAAGTACCTTAAAACTGAGCTTAAAGTAGAGGAAATGTTTGATTTTTGACAATGTTCAAGAGTAAACAAATGACGTCAGCGTCCAATACGTGTCCAACTGGCCAGTCTAATACGCAGTCATGAATGGGTTGACATTATTTATACAAATATTACAATGCAGTAGTCTGCATAACAGTAAATCTAATATTTTTTGTGTGAATAAAAATTAAAAATGGAGAGCAAGCGTAATATAAGAGGGACCTGGAGACGTGGTTAATGAATAGAGAAAATGTTATATTAGTGCCAGGAATGTCTGCACTGTTTATTTTGGACCCTATTTTGACATTGGCATCTCTTGAAATTTGTGTGAAATTGGCCAAATTACTGATTTCCGACCACTTTATTGGGTAGTTGAAAAAGGTAAATGGGTAGTTTCTTGTACTCAACTGACAGAATAGAAGGAATACTAGCAAAATAGCTATGGGATTGGTAGACTGGAACAATGGAATGGGCCAAAAATAGGGCATAAAGTGGGTGAAATCACTCATACATAAATATCATCACTGGGTTAAGTGTATTCTAACCTAACCACTCTATAATCCGGCAAAATCACTAATCCGGCACCCTACAGGTCCTGATATTGCCGGATTAGTGATGGTCAATCTGTACTAGAATTTATATTAGAATTTTTGCAGCAAAATGCATATAGAACAAGTGAGTGTGACCCACAAAAAAATTCCTGCCTAATTACAATAGGCATAAGTCATAATACAGCACAGTATTTATGCCTTATTCATAACAGCAAAATACGTATTATACTATCTTTTAAAATAAACTTACCTGCAACAGAAATATCCCAATCAATTTTTCTAATAAAGTGTTAGTATTGGAAAGGAAGAACAAGCATATCTGTAGTAAGAACTATCTCCTGATAAAATACTTTTTTTTTTCAGTTTATTAATGGGAAAGGAAATATTAACTTAAATGTATTGTACAGTCTTATTAAACAATATGGCTAGTTCCCAAAATTTCAATAAATTTAAATACAGTAAACCCTCAGCAAACCAGACCTCAGTATAACTGACAAAATCTGTCAAGTAAACTGTGCTTTTAACTCCTCTATTTTCAATGTTTATTTTGGGATATCTGTATACACCTAGGTAGTAGGTTGGTAGACAGCAACCACCCAGGGAGGTACTACCGTCCTGCCAAGTGAGTGTAAAACGAAAGCCTGTAATTGTTTTACATGATGGTAGGATTGCTGGTGTCTTTTGTCTGTTTCATAAACATGCAAGATTTCAGGTACATCTTGCTACTTCTACTTACACTTAGGTCACACTACACATACATGTACAAGCACACTCACACACACACTCTCACACACTTTCACTCTCTCTCACACACTCACTCTCACACATTTAATTGCACATTCACTCTCTCACACTCTCTGACTTTTCAACAGAAACCAACTTTGATTTTCATTTTCTTTTCACACTAACAGTCACCTCCACTAACCCCTACCCTCATGCACCCCTCTACCCTTCACTCACTCCTAACCTCTGCACATTCCTACTTCTACGTTTCCCTCCCTCCAGCACTGTATGACCCTTACCTTGATTATAATAATAATGTCAGATGGGAGTAAAGGAGCCATGTACCATGGCAAGTTTTACAATATTTGTGCATCATCAAATTCATTAATGCTTTAAGTTTAATTTAAAAGATTTGTGCATACTATCCAAATTTTTGGTTGAAATTCTTGAATTGTGTTGCACAATATTTAATTGCATTATAAGAGTTTACTGTATATATTTAAACAATTACTACAGTGAGTGGTATGTACATATGTGTACTTTCTTTTTGTGTATACAATACCATAGATTTGCATACTTTTGGTCTTCGATTCATATCACAAATTTGCCTAGAATGAAAACATCTTGGCCCTAAAAGTTCAGATTAGAAGTGGGTAATCATATTTAAAACATTGGTCCATAGACCTCACTGGCATTGTAACCTTCCATAATTAAGGCCTTGTTATCAGCATGGTATTGTTCAGGTGTGAGGCAGGTTAGTGGTTGCTGACACCATCGGCTGGCTACTTCTTTGCTGATGCTCGTCTCCTCCCATGCAGCATGCTCAAGCAGAAGGCTACCTGTAGTAGAGGAAAACATACAAAAAACAATTATTTATGTATGATCATAATTTAATTAAGGAAATACACTAAATACTGTAAAAAAAATGGTTAAAAATTGAAATTATAAGCTAGGCTTTGAAATGTGCTGAGGTGTCAGAGCTTAGTTTTTCCCTATGGTATGCTTACACTTCCTCTGGGAGGTGATTCACAACATCCATATATATATATTTTCTGCTAGGTGAACAGAAGCAACAGGTGTAAGAAAACATGCTCAATGTCTCCACCCAATCCAGGATCAAATCCAAGTCCAATGATTGTGAACTGAAGGTGCTACCATTTGAAGTGCTAGATTTATCTCTACCTAGTATATTTTCAATACCTTGTTATCTATTAGAGGGCACCATTCTTGAAGGGAAGGGTGACCATCTACAGAATCATTCCAAACATTTCAGTCTCCCAAGCAATAAAAACTTCATAAGCAACCTGCAGATAAGTGGTAGAGCATTCAGCTCAAGAACATCCTTACACCTGCTGTTGACTAACACCATAGTGTTAGTCAACTGCTGCAGATTACATCCTAGAGGGTTACATATTATAAAACTTGAAAAGAATGCTTGACCACATGACATGCCATCCCTCTCTTGCAAGAAACTAACTTTTTTCTTCTAAAAAACTTCTTTAACCCTTTGACTGTTTTGGTCGTATATACAGTGGACCCCGACATTTGATGGCATCGACATTCGATAAATCCGACATCCGATGCATTTTAACGCAAAAATTTCGCCTCGACATTCGATGCGATTCATACGAGACGTGCCCACGAGTGGCCTGAACTGCCCCGTGTGTGCCAGTGTTTACAAGCCAGCCAGTGTCCGCGCATCTTAGGATACATTCGGTACATTCCATATTATCACTTTTTTTGGTGCTTGTTTCTGCAAAATAAGTAACCATGGGCCCCCAAGAAAGCTTCTAGTGCCAAGCCTTCGAGAAAAAAGGCGCTAATGACTATTGAAATGAAGAAAGTAATAATTGCAAAGTTCAAAAGTGGAGTGCGTGTGTCGGAGCTGGCCAGGTTGTATAGTAAACCCCAATCAACCATCTCTACTATAGTGAGCAGGAAAACGGCAATCAAGGAAGCTGTTATTGCAAAAGGTGCAACTTTGTTTTCGAAACAGAGATTGCTAGTGTTAGAAGATGTTGAGAGACTGTTACTGGTGTGGATAAATGAAAAACAGATAGCAGGAGATAGCATCTCTCAAGCGATCATTTGAGAAAAGGCTAGGCAGTTGCATGATGATTTGGTAAAGAAATTGCCTGCAACTAGGGGTGTTTGTGAGTGACTTTAAGGCCAGCAAAGGATGGTTTGAAAGATTTAAGAATCGTAGTGGCATACACAGTGTGATAAGGCATGGTGAGGCTGCCAGTTCGGACCACAAAGCGGCTGAAAAATGTGTGCATAAATTTCAAGGAGTACATAGAGGCTGAAGGATTGAAACCTGAACAAGTGTTTAACTGTGACGAAACAGGCCTTGTTTTGGAAGAAATTGCCAAGGAAGGACCTACATTACTCAGGAGGAAAAGGCACTCCCAGGACATAAGCCTATGAAAGACAGGCTTACTCTTCTGATGTGTGCCAATGCTAGTGGGATTGTAAAGTAAAGCCTTTATTGGTGAAACACTCAGAAACTCCCAGAGTGTTCAGGCAAAAGAATGTCCTAAAAGCAAATTTTTGTGTGTGCTGTGGAGATCAAACAGTAAGGCATGGGTCACTAGGACTTTTTCTAGGGCGGGTTTATACCATGCATTTGCCCCACTGTGAAAAATTCCCTAACTGAAAAGAAATTAGACCTTAAGTGCCTCCTGGTATTAGACAATGCCCCTGGTCATCCTTCAGACATGCAGAGCGACTTTCTGAGACATGAGCTTCATTAAGGTCAAGTTTTTGCCTCCTAATACCACTCCTCTCCTGCAGCCCATGGACCAGCAGGTCATTTCCAACTTCAAGAAACTGTACACAAAAGCTGTTTCAAAAGTGCTTTGTAGTGATCACAGAAACTCAACTGACTCTAAAAGAGTTTTGGAAGGATCACTTTAATATCCTTAGTTGTATAAACCTTATAGGTAAGGCTTGGGAGGAAGTGACTAAGAGGACCTTGAACTCTGCTTGGAAAAAACTGTGGCCAGAATGTGTAGACAAAAGGGATTTTGAAGGGTTTGACGCTAACCTTGAGAATCCTATGCCAGTTGAGGAATCCACTGTGGCATTGGGGAAGTCCTTGGGGTTGGAGGTTAGTGAGGAAGATGTGGAAGAGTTGGTGGAGGAGGACAATAACGAACTAACCACTGATGAGCTGCTAGATCATCTTCAACAGCAAGAGGCCAGACCTGAGGAAACTGCTTCGGAGGAGGGGAGAGAGAAATTGAAGACGTTGCCTACTTCAAAGATTAAGGAAATGTGTGCAAAGTGGCTTGAAGTGCAAACCTTTTTTGATGAAAATCACCCTGACACAGCTACTGCAAGCCGTGCTGGTGACTATTACACTGACAATGTTGTGAACCACTTTAGGAAAGTCATAAAGGAACGAGAGGTACAGGCCTCTATGGACAGATATGTTGTGCGACAGAAGTCTAGTGACTCTCAAGCTGGTCCTAGTGGCATTAAAAGATGAAGGGAAGTAACCCCGGAAAAGGACTTGCTACCTCATGTCCTAATGGAAGGGGATTCCCCTTCTAAACAGTAACAACTTCAACACTCTCCCCTCCTCCCAACCCATCAATCATCACCAGATCTTCATTAAAGGTAAGTGTCAATTATTCTACTGTTATTAATGTATTGTTATTGTTGTTATTGTAATTATTTTATTGCATTAAACTTAATATTTCATGTGGTAAAATTTTTTTTTTCATACTTTTGGGTGTCTTGCATGGATTAATTTAATTTCCATTATTTCTTATGGGGAAAATTAATTCGACTTTTGATATTTTCGATATTCGATACCTCTCAGGAACGGATTAGTATCGAATGTCGAGGGTCCACTGTATACGTCTTACGAGGTACCGTGTTTGATGTATATATACTCATAAATTCTAGCGGCTTCAAATCAAGCAGGAGAAAGCTGATAGGCCCACATGTGAGAGAATGGGTCTGTGTGGTCAGTGTGTACCATATAAAAAAAATCCTGGAGCAAGCAGTGCATAATGAAGAAAAAAAAACTCTGACCGTTTTTTTTAATTAAAACGCCGACTTTGTGGTCTATTTTCGTATAGTATTTATGGTTGCATTCTCGTTTTCTTGGTCTCATTTGATAGAATGGAAAACATGTTATAGAAATAGAGGTGATGTTGATTGATTTTACTATAAAAAGAACCTGGAAATGGAGCTCAAAGTAGGGGAAATGTTTGATTTTTGCTGATGTTCAAAAGTAAACAAATGATGTCATTGTCCAATAAATGTCCAACTAGCCATTCTAATATGCAGTCATGAATGGGTTGATGTTATTTATACAATTATTACAGTATTGCAGTAGTCTGCATAACAGTAAATCTTCTAATTTTTGTTTGAATAAAAATTCAAAATAGAAAGCAAGAGTAATATCAGAGGGGCCTGGAGACATGACTGATGAACAAAGAAAATGTTATTTTAGAGCTAGGAATGTCTGCATTGTTCATTCTGGACCTTATTTTGAAATCGTCATATTTTTTCATTTTCGTGAAATTGGCCAAATTGCAAATTTCTGACCACGTTATTGGGTAGTTGAAATCGGTAAATGGACAGTTTCTTGTACTCAATCGATAGAAAAAATGGAGTTCTAAAGAAATAGCTATGAGTTTGGTTGACTGGAACAATGGAATTAGCCGAAAATAGGGCTGAAAGTGGGCGAAATCGCCGATTTGTAAATATCACTGAGGTCGCTAACTTCGTGAGAGCGTAATTCCATCAGTTTTCCATCAAATTTCGTTTTCTTTGGTGTCATTACAATTGGAAAAAGATTCTCCATCATTTCATAAGAAAAAATATTTTTTTTTTTTAAATTTTGCGACACCAGGAGACACCTCAGGGGTTAAATGTATAAAAACAGGACACTGATGAGAATAACAGACAAACCATCACACAATAAATATAGCAAGGTGGAGAGTGCCTACTCAAGGATCATTATGCTGCAGCCAATCAACAGAACTTTGAAAATTGTCCAAACTGCCAGCATTTTTGACACTATTGGGAAGGGGAAAGTAACTCTGTAACTGTCAACCACTCTTTTGCAAAATATATCAAAGAGAGGGAGCATCAGTCAAAAAAAATCATTGCCACATTGCTGAAAAAAATTTAGTGCCTATGTGTAAAGTGAACAAAGGTCTAGGAATTTAATCTAGATAAGTCTTGTAACATGAACAGACTGTATACTGCATCCCACATATGTCAATACAGTGTTATGAAGGTGTTGGTGCTATTCACTGTCTGCAACTTGGTCAGGGAAACAGCATATGAGGCATCCCTCCTATGAACAATGTGAATTCAGTTGCTAAGGGAATATCATAGCCAACCAACACATAAGCATAAGAGCAAATCTGTTATTGTCAAAGACATTACCAGGAGACATGAAGTATAAAATTTTTTGTTCATAACTCAGAGCTGAAGCCAGTCTCTAATGGTAGTGTAGACCACCCAGAGGACTTAGATATTTTTTTTTTTTTAACAAACCGGCCATATCCCACCAAGGTAGGGTGACCTATAAAGAAAAACGAGTTGTTTTAAATTTAGTAATTTATACAGGAGAAGGGGTTACTAGCCCCTTTCGCCCTGCATGTTAGTTGACTCTTACAACACGCATGGCTTACAGAAGAAGAATTTTGTCCCACTTTCCCATGGAGATTAGAGGAAATAAAGAAGAACAAGAACTATTAAGAAAATAGAAGAAAACCCAGATGGGTATGTGTACATATGCATGTACATGCATGTGTAGTGTGACCTAAGTGTAACAGAAGTAGCAAGATATACCTGGTATCCCCCATATTTATGAGACAGAAAAAAAAGACACCAGCAATCCTACCATCATGTAAAACAATTACAGGTTTCCATTTCACACTCATTTGACAGGATGGTAGTACCTCCCTGGGTGGCTGCTATCTACCAACTTACTACCTAGGGAGAACTCAGATATATTCAGGCAAAATGGGAAAGGTGTATGAAGAATAAGTAGTACATACACTGGACTTAAATGAAGCTGACGTATTTAGCAACAGCAATTGCCCAAACTTTAGAAAAAAGAAAAAGAGGCCCTTGCAGGCCTAATCACCTGCCTTATGAATCAGGGAGAAGTAGAAGAATTCATACACCTTACTGAGAATCTGACTCATGAATCAAGGGATACCACCATCTATGGTATGAAAAGACCAAGCCCAGGTAGATGTGGAAGGGGTTCCTCCTTCAAGGAGCTCCCTGATCTGAAGAGCCCTAGTATCCAGAAGGCTCCCCATACTGAAACAAAATCACTATTCCCTAACATCTTTCAGCGAAGACAGTTGAACATCCAAAACAAGGTGGCTCCTCTGAAGGGCAAAGCCAACATCATCTTGTCTTATTGATTCCTCATCAATGAGACAAAATGGTTGGGCAGGTCCCATAAATCATACATGCCCAAGAAAGCTTGCTGACACTGCCTAGTGGTTCATACAATCAGTGCAAGCCCATCAATACAACAAGCCATATCCTAAGAACAAAACCTGCACTAGGTATAAGAATTTATAGACATACTAAAAATAACTTTCAAACATATGTAAAGTATTACTTATATAGTATTTGCTTAAAAATTCTACACAAGCATTTCATACCAATATAAATATGAGCAATAGTTGTGGCAATATCTCGAGCTCCTGGGAAGATAAGATGGGGATGTTTCTGCATGAAGCTGATGAGCTCATCCATAGCCAGGTTCACCTTCTGGCAGGAGTCTCCCAAGCTCTCAGATGCTGTGCTTGACATCACATGTTGTAGACGGGCTACAAGATGAACATGCAAGTAAATTCACTTCAATTCAGCATTTACTTAACCATCTAGTCTTTAAAAAATAAACAAATTACATCAGGTGATGAATGTTGCAGCGAGGAGAAGGCTGGAGGCAGTGGAGATGTCATGTCTGAGGGCAATGTGTGGTGTGAATATAATGCAGAGAATTCGTAGTTTGGAAGTTAGGAGGAGGTGCGGGATTACCAAAACTGTTGTCCAGAGGGCTGAGGAAGGGTTGTTGAGGTGGTTCGGACATGTAGAGAGAATGGAGCGAAACAGAATGACTTCAAGAGTGTATCAGTCTGTAGTGGAAGGAAGGCGGGGTAGGGGTCGGCCTAGGAAGGGTTGGAGGGAGGGGGTAAAGGAGGTTTTGTGTGCGAGGGGCTTGGACTTCCAGCAGGCATGCTTGAGCGTGTTTGATAGGAGTGAATGGAGACAAATGGTTTTTAATACTTGACGTGCTGTTGGAGTGTGAGCAAAGTAACATTTATGAAGGGATTCAGGGAAACCGGCAGGCCGGACTTGAGTCCTGGAGATGGGAAGTACAGTGCCTGCACTCTGAAGGAGGGGTGTTAATGTTGCAGTTTAAAAACTGTAGTGTAAAGCACCCTTCTGGCAAGACAGTGATGGAGTGAATGATGGTGAAAGTTTTTCTTTTTCGGGCCACCCTGCCTTGGTGGGAATCGGCCGGTGTGATAATAAAAAAAAAAATAAAAATAATACTACAAAAAATCTAATACTTTCTCCCCACATTTTTTTTTTTTTTTTTTTGGGTATCACTTACACTACTGATGTCTTTGACAGACTTTGACAAATAAAAATTGCAGTGTTCTTACAAACAAAAAATTTTTATGGACCATTACCAATTTTCTCAACTCATAGGCAAATGAGCACCAATTCAGCCAGGAATATTAATTTACATCAGTTTTTGTGCACCTTATGCATATGATAGTTGAACTTTACTAAACTTTTTATGCACCTGCATTTCACACAAGTTAAAAAACTACCATATCAGCTAGATAACACATTCACCCTCATTCATTCTCTGTCATTCCAACAGTTCATGGATATCACAATTCAAACAGCCCTCTAAACCACACCATTTATTGCACAAAAACATTTGAAATGTCTAGTGCTCCATCTGTTTACCTTTTACATCTCCAAACAAAACTGTCAGAGCTTCTCCTTCAGATTTCGTCACAGCTCGAAGGAAATCCAGTGACATAATATTTGTAGTACCTTCCCAAATTGGCAGAACCTATTATGGAGATATTAAATACAGTATACAGTATACAAAGATAAAAGCAAAATACAGAAATTTAAATCATTGAAATTAGTTAATCACAGTATCATTTAATTTAATTGGTTAAATTTCTTTTATTTCTATAAAATATAATGCAAACCAAAGAATCAAAGAAATCCACCTCTGAAATGTAATTCAGTAGACTCTTCTAAATAAACCTAAATACTGATTAAGCCCTTTTCTGTATATAAAGAATGAAAAATACTGCCACTACAATATTTACTGACTGAGGTTTGAAGTCACTCACCATCCGACTCATGACCTGCACGACATACGACTACTCAACTTACGACCATGTGTCTGGCAGCAGGGTTGCCAGATGCACGGTCAGATGCAGCAGTATGTGATACTTTATTGACAACGTTTTGTCCACACAAGTAGAGGTAATAGTAGTGGTTACACATGTGGTGGAAAAGTCAGCTGGTACATGAGAAAGAAAAGTTACAAAAGCTATGGCTTGGGTAACATAAAAAATAGGTTGGGCAAATGTATATAGATGGATGGATTTGAGAAGGCATGCCCAGTTTGGGACAACAGTCCTGCTGCAGTGTTCCTCCTTTCTTATGTTCTTATGTAATAGAGAAGGGACACTGAAATATGCCCTCTCAAATTCATCCATATACATTATACCTATTTTTTTATGCTACCCAAGCTATAGCTTTTGTAACCTTTCTTTCTCATATACCAGCTGCAAATGTTCTCAGAAATAAACAACTGTTTGTGTTGTGCACAGGGTTTCTCCTAAACCTTACAGTATAAAATACAGTACTAAACAGCATAAAAAGTAAAGTAAAAAATGAAATACAAAAATAATAAAATAAAATCGTTACAATAACTGTGATGTTGATATACAGGGACCTTCTGGGTAGAAGTGCTGACACAAGCAAGAGAGAGCAGCCGACAAAATGTTCTATTCTTACACTAATATCAACAATAAGGCTTATTTACCTATCACAATTGATCAATTATGACATAAGGGGAAATATCAATAGCAAAGAAACAAAAAATATGCCAGAATAAATATTACCTAGCATAATATGAAGGCCTGCTACACAGATAGGAAAGGAACTTTGTGGACACAACCGACCATAAGGCTTATTATCACTTCTTTCGTTACTCTTGAGAAAAAACAGATCTAGCACGAGGGCAAACTGTAATAGACACTCGTAGCTTACGAAAACACTGAAAACAAAAGGGATTTTTTTTCTGGAAAAATAATATTTCCCAAGTACTCGGGTATGCACGTGCTTTCGGCTACTATCTCGGAAGTATGTTATTCACCTATTTTGTGAAAACCAATAATAATGAATGGATTGAAGTGATTTCCACAACAAACATAAAAGAATGACTGCTTTACAAGATAAGGATTTAATTTTTGAAGTATCCCTATCGGCAACTTTCTAAGGTTCGACTTACGTCCATCTTGACTTACGACTGGTTAGTCGGAACCAAGCTTGGTCATAACTCGGATGGTACCTGTATATGATAGTGTAAACATGTTATCAGGCTTTTATATGAATTTGAAAGTGAAAAAAACAGCGCTATGCTTCACTTTACAGGGGTATTCGTTTTATAGCAGTTTCCCGAAACCTAACCTGCTGTATAAGCAGGACCCACCTACACTATAAGACATGTATCATAAATGACACATGAACATCATGAATGCTTCTTGTCTTGAGACTGTATTTAACTTTTGGCTTAAGAGTAAAAATTTGAGATAACTGACCACCTCCACTGTGTAGTACATGAATGAAAACTGACTCTGTTACCATCACTTCGTTTTACCATTAATTCACAATGAATTATGCTGGACTTGCTATAAAATGCAGGAGGGCTCCCATCCTTGAAGGGAGGGTGCCTTGATGCTAGTGAAAGCTGCTTGATCCAAGGAATTGGATGAAGCACTCTTTGGATCAAACCTGATTGCCTCCAAAACCCAGATGCTGTATGAAATCTACCAGTTTAGCACAAATGCCCCAATTTTAACAACTGCCAATATGCTGTACAACCAAATGAAATATAACCATTCTTTGTACTATTGTTTTCTATAAACAAAATTTCTAAGCAACAAACAAGTTTGCTTACTTTTTTCTAAAACAAAAAAAAAAATGTAACTTACTTACAAGCTAAAAAAAACCAGAGCTGCAACCTGTTTGTAAGTTAAAAAAATAAAACAGAACTTTCATAGTCTTTAACTTAAAAAAAAAAAAGCATTTACACATTCAACTTTTTTCTTATGCATCAGTCGTCTCCCACTTTCACTTTCACCAACATTCACATATAATCACTGTCTTTGCAGAGGTGCACAGATACAAAAGTTCAGATGTCATTCCAAACAGCCAATATCCCAAACCCCTCCTTTACAGCATAGGCACATTACCTACCACCTCCAGGACTCAAGTCTGGCTAACCAGTTTCCCTGAATCCCTTCACAAAATATTACCCTGCTGATACTCCAATGCCTCGTCAAGTCAAATACCATTTGTTTCCATTCACTCCTATCTAACATGCTCACACATGCCTGTTGTATGTCCAAGTGCCTTGCACACAAAACCTCATTTACTCCCTCCCTCCCTCCATCCATTTCTAAGATGAACCCTACTCCTTCTCCCCTCCACTACATATTTATACACCCTTCAAGTCATCCCATTTTGCTCCATCAGGTGTCCAGTAACTCAATCGCTAGTGCATTCAGCTCACACACTGAGGTCCAGAGTTGAAATCTCTGGTACAGCTGGAAAACATTAGAACTTGGACACCTGTTGTCCAAGTTCACCCATCAGTATAAAATGGGTACCTGGGTGTTAGTCGACTGGTGTGGGTTGTATCTTGGGACAAAATTGACGTAATTTGCCTGAAATGCTCAGCATAAAAAGCAGCTTTCTATATAGTAGAATGTCAACTGATGTCAGCTAGGCCTGTATACCTTGTACATGTACTTGTAGAAATAAAGATCTTCTTCTTCTTTCAACAAACTGGATGTATCCCACCGAGGCAGGGTGGCCCAAATAGAAAAATGAAAGTTTCTCTTTTTAAATTTAGTAATTTATACAGGAGAAGAGGCTACTAGTCCTTTGCTCACGGCATTTTAGTCGCCTCTTACAACACGCATGGCTTACGGAGGAAGAATTCTGTTCACTTCCCCATGGAGGTAAGAGGAAATAAACAAGAACTAGAAAGAAGAAAGAAGAAAACCCAGATGAGTTTGTGTAATATATATATATATATATATATATATATATATGCTTGTACATGTATGTGTAATGTGACCTAAGTGTAAGTAGAAGTAGCAAGACGTACCTGAAGTCTTGCATGTTTATGAGACAGAAAAAAGGACACCAGCAATCCTACCATCAGGTAAAACAATTACAGGCTTTCATTTTACACTCACTTGGCAGGACAGTAGTACCTCCCTGGGCGGTTGCTGTCTACCAACCTACTACCTAGAAGAAATAAAGATATTATAAAAAAATGACCAAACCACCTCAACAACCCCTCCTCAGCCTTCTGAATAATACTTTTAGTAACTCCACACCTCCTCACAATTACCACAATACAAATTCTCTGCATAATATTTACACCATGCATTGCCCTTAGACATGACATCACCACTGCCTCCAGCCTCTTCCTTGCTGCAGCATTTACAACCCATGCTTCACACCCATATACATGTGTTGGTACCACTATACTCTCATACATTCCCTTCTTTGCGTCCACGGATAACGTTCTTTGTCTCCACAGATACCTCAATACACCACCCACCCTTTTTCCTTCATCAGTTCCTAAGTGTACCCCATCCTTCATAAACCCATCTGCTGACAAGTCTACTCCCAAATATCTGAACACAAACACTTCTTCCATACTCCCTCCCTCCAAGGTGATATCCAATTTTTCTTTACCTAACTCATTTGATACCCTCATCACCTTACTCTTATCTATGATCGCTTTCAAATTTTTTCCTTTACACACCTTTCCAAACTCATCCACTAACCTTTGCAACTGCTCTTTAGAATCTCCCATAACACAATATCATCAGCAAAAAGTAACTGTCAATTCCCATTTCATATTTGATTTCCTATAATTTAATCCCACCCCTCTCCCCAACACCCTAGCATTTACTTCTTTTACAACTTCATCTATAAATATGTTAAACAAGACAGTGACACTACACAGTGCTGTCTAAGGCCTACTTTCATTGGAAAGTAATCTCCCTCTCTCCTACACATCCTAACCTGAGCCTCACTAACCTCATAAAAACTCTTTACAGTGTTTGGTATCTTAATACCTATTGCATATACTTGCAACATCTGCCACATTGCTCCCCTATCCACTCTATCTAAATATTGTTCACTTATATGCTTCAATGAAACACTTGGTTTATACATCCCCTACCCATTCTAAAGTCTCCTTGCTCATCTGTGATCCTGCTCTCTGTCTTACGTCTAATTTTTTCAATAATATGGCCAGTGAGCTGAAAGAAAGAAAGAACTCTACCATACACTTTACACAGTATACCAAGTAAACTTATTTGCCATAATTTTTACTTTCTATTTTGTCCCCCTTCCCTTTATATAAAGGAATTATACATAATCTTTGCCAATCCCTAGGTACCTTCCCCTCTTTTATACATTTATTGAACAAAAGTACCAACCGCTCCAAAACCATATCCCCACCTGCTTTTAACCCTTTCAGGGTCCATGCTGTAGATCTACGGATTTACGTTGAGGGTCCAAACCGTAGATCTACGCCATGACCTCAGCTCACTCTGATAAGCTGTGAGTGGTAAATTTGGGCCTAGATATGAGAGAATACTGTACATCTATGTGGTATGTGTGCACCAAATAAAACAAATCCTGCAGCACACAGTGCATAATGAGAGAAAAAACTGAGACCGTAATTTTCGATTAAAACAGCGACTTTGTAGTGTTTTTTCTTATGTTTTTTATAGTTGTATT